CAATCCTACCCCCCCCCCCCCTCTATTCAAGCTTGGCTTCTCCATTTTTACATAAATGGCTTCTTTCACCCCTCTTTTAAACCAGCCCTCCTCCCTGTCTAGGATTCATACTTGAATTTTTTGTACAAGTAATTGTGAATTGAGAAAACTGGTTGGATGTCAAGTGGAACATCTAAAAGAAAAATACAGCAAGTCCAGTTGCCTTGACTAATTTTTTACAGATATATATTCTTACATAGTTTGTATAGAGAACTAATATGAGTGCTGATATGCCAGCCTTGACAGCTGATTCTTACAAAATATGCCTGGATCTAGCATTTTTTTATTACAGTATGTTTCTTCTGTGTTAAAAAGCATTGATGTGAATGCTGAGCTTACCATTAAACATTCATAGATCCTATTTAATACACATATGAGCTAAGGCTGCAGTTGGCTCTTTTATCTACTAATGCTACTACTTCACTATTATTTTTACAACCAGCTTAAAAAACTTTCCAGGTAAATTTAAAATAGCATTAGAGGGTTCCCTGTCCTCCATACGATAAACAGGTGGCCACTTTCTTTCATAGATTCCTGGGTTTCCTGATACTAAGAGATTTAGAGATTTAATTGTGTAATTATACTGGGGTGGTAATTATACTGGGGTGGTATTGCAGAATTAGAATGGGTATCTGTAAGAGAGCAGGGCTTGTTACGTGAGGCTCTCAGGCCCACATAATAATTTGGCTATAAGAGATCTAAGAAATTTGTTTACTGGTATTTAGTCCTGATTGAAGATGACACAGGGTCTAATGTATGAAGAATGTGCTACAGATAAGGACATACATTTACTAAAACTGGAGCAGGCAAAATCTGGAGAAGCTGTGGATTGCAACTGGTTAGCTTTATCTTTAATTTTCAACGCTTAACTAAACACGATGTAGGCAGAAGCTGGTTACTATGCAAAGCTGCCCCAGTTTTAGTAAATTCCACCCAACTTATCTTGTTGCCCATAGCAATTAAACGATTCTAACTTTCACCTTAATAGTGGCCAACCAGAACTGTTGCCTTCTGCCAGCTTATAATATATCTGGCCTCGGGACTGCAGCTTGAACCACAGTTATAATTATTAGTAACACTTTTAAAGAAACTCAGTGTTTATTTCACCTGATTATTTCAGATGGGTTTCCAAACACCTACAGCATGATTACTGAGAAATATGACATATTAAAAATGTTATGAAAAAATGTTATGATAGACTGTTTTGTAATTGTTTCCTGTGCATTACCAATTTACAAGGAACATATAAAATAAACAAATCCTGGCTGAATGTATTTATGTCTTTACTCCATTGTTTCTATGAAATGTATCTTTTTAAGTATTTCCTTCTGTCTGTTTTTCTTTAATAATCAAACTGCAGCAGTTTGTGCTGTACACAATTTATTGTACTGGCACAGAAAAGCCACAATGCCTTTCATTAGCATAAGTCCTCTAAAAGGATTTTAATGATTATATTATGCAAATTCTGTTTAAGTTTCAACTTGTTGATATTGCAAAATTGAACCTAATTGACAGCAGGGTGAAGAAATAATTAGTTTAATTTGGAATGGCTGAAATTGAGGCATCACTTACTGTGTGGAACATTAATCAAGGGAATAGTAAGTTTGTCTGTTGTCACAGGCTTAACCGTATTGTTCAGAATAACTGTTATTACAGGCTCATTGCTGGCATATCCTAGCACAAGGTTATGACAGGATGCAGAGCCTGTCATTTTTTTTTTTCAACTAGGGTGTCACACATACATTGGGAGAAGAGAAATAAATCTTGTCTATTCATGATATCTGCTGAGGGAACAGAAAAGCTTTTGAAACGTTCTAACACTGCATTTTCATTGTGCAGATATTACAGACTTATTGAAGAATCCATCGACCCTTGTATGGTGTCTCCACTTAGTGCAGAATGGCTTCAGGGAATCTATTCATACATACCAGCAGAACTTTGCAAGGTGTGCAGCAAATCCCTTCAGGATTTAACAAAGGTATGTATGGATTTGTGTCATGCTTTGCAAGCAGCTCTCATTGCTATTAATACATGAATATTTGACAAGTACAGTGGAGGAATTATTCTTGTGCATACTACCCTCTAGATATAAAATAAGCCGTTCTGCAAAACAGATGATTTGTTCTGAAAAATATACCGTGTAAAAAAATTTGTCAGTTGTAAAAGCAAAATATCCCTGTGCTTAAGCGATCGAAGTGCTTTGGTAAAAAAAAACAAACAGAAATAAACGGGGCAGTTTGGGACATAAAATGTCTTGTGAAATTCTAATTAGGGTAGGTTTTTTTTAGTTTATATAAAGAGAAAAAAATGTACTATAGACTAGAGACTTAACCCATGTATGATGTATTTATCCAACAAATCCTAACATTAGTAACATTTGATTAAATCAATTTATAAAAATCTGTAAAAGATGCAAGCATTATGATCCCAAAGCTACAATGTAATTATTGATAGAGTACAGTGCAAAACGGCAATACACAGTACATATCTGTTTCTTTGGGTGCAATGCTTTCCATATCATATACATTGCCGCATGATATTTAGCTTAGCTGAGTTGATTTATGAAGCAATGAAAAACAGGTCAGTTGTCCATAGCACACATGTTTTATTTTCATTCTATTAAGTTTTTTTATTAAATATGGGGTATCATTGGTTGCTCTAGGTCAGCAGTTCCCAACCTTGGATTAAATACCCCAGAAGGTAGTTGATAGTACATTTACATTTATATTTTTGTAATGGCAGAAAAAAGCTGTGGCATTGGGCAGTTAGGGACTAAAATTGTGCAGAAGGTCTGCAGAGTAATCCTGTGGCTGCATTTTCCAAAACTCATTCTATAGTTCTGGCTGCCAACTCCTCAGTTAGTCCCCAGCTGAGTGATGTGCCCTTTGCTTTTCTTAAGTGCAAGAGGCCATAGATCCAGGGAATCCAGTGTAACAGACTGCACCCCAAAGAGACCACAAGATAACACTGGACACACCACTTCAATATGGCATACTCCAAAGATCCCCCTACCCCAGCCTCCCAGCTCCCTCCTTCTTCTTACTGACAAAGACACAGTGGGATTTGAGCCCCTCCTTCTGTTTGTGCCATATGGCCACATCTACTATTTGGTGTGGCACGGTACATGCCCCACCCCCACTGAGGGATACAGTTTATACAAATGAAGCGCCAAGGGGTACACAAGTAAAAAAAAGTTGGGAGCCACTGCTCTACGTAATGCCTCTACTTTAATTTGCTTCTGCTTCAGCATGAAACCCATGCTTTCCATTTTCTACATATATTTTGTATATATTAGTGCAAATATGTTTAAATGTTAACTAAAGGCAAGGTAGGAAACTGATAAAGATACATAAATGTAGCAGTTAAAGAAGACATCCCACAAACAATATTTACAACTGAACTGGAAACATGAACATGTAACTTTAATAAAACAACCCATTGTCTTAAAAAAACAAAGAAAGTTCATTATAGGATCCTGAAGCCTTAAATAATCATGCAAGTGGAGAGGGATTAGGACTCTTGTGAAGTTTTTATTGCTGTCTGTGTCCCAATTAAGGAGATTCACTCTCTCTATTGTCCTGGTGACTGTTATCACTAAAAGTGAAGAATATCCCAAATTTTGAGTTGTCACCAAAACAAGAATAGTGGACACTACAGTAGTTCTTGTGACCCTGCTGATCATCAGCGATTTCCCTTGCTTTGGAGGGATTTCCTCTGTTATGTTGTGTTCTGTTGTGGCTCTTGGGCAAGAAGTGAAAGGAAATCTCCCCAATGGGACCAAGATGGCAAAAAGGCTGATATAGATCAAAACCCTCCCTTATTTACTGATTCCTATATTTGTATTATTTTTGTGACTGGCAATACTTGTTTATTGTATCATGACAATGTTTTGTAAATCAATTTAATTATGATGTAATTCAGGAAAACCTTCTTAGGCCTCATACACACTGGCGCATGAAGCTGTAAAATGTAAATTGTGGACATATTTCCGGACCTGGTATAACCAGCTGTGGGGTCTGTGCATGTAGCTATGTAAATCAACATAAAGCTGCCTACAACCATTCAATATTCTGGGTGGCTGTATGTGGCTGTGGGTGGCTGTGTGCATGAATACTTAAAGTAGTACTAAAGTCTCATTTTGTTTTCAGAAATTAACTTATGTAGTCCAAAACAGTACATTTTAAACAAATGATTGCCAATAGCAATGTCCAGAAAACCTGCTTTTTCATGTGCTCTGGTTCCCTGAAGTTCCAGTCGGGCAGCACACACCCATTAGGTCAACAGCACTCTGATGAAAACATCAATTGAGACGACATGCCCCATCATTAATTTGCCCAAGCAGATGTGTGCCCCTTCATTGAAAAAATTCCGCTGACATGAGGACCCTGCCCTGCAGTCCATGCCTTCCAGGGAGGTGTTGAAGACACACCTCTGCTATTGCCTTGGAAGCCGTTGTCCATCACTTCCCTTGGAGGAAGAGCAGAGGCATATCTTCTATATGCTGTCCTCTCAGTCTGCCTGCGTATGTTACTGTAGACAGTGTCCTCATGTCAGACGGTAATGCTCAAATGGGGGCTCACATGGGTAGCTGCAATGCATGGGAGACACCAGAGCATAGAATAGAAAAGTGGAGGGCAGCGATCATGGGGACTGGCAGGAACATATATAGAGGCCAGCTTGAAAAACAGTAGATATAGCATCCAATGCAGGTAAAGATACCCACAGCTGAAATGTTAAAATAATAGGGGTTTAATATCACTTTAATACTCAATTAATATATACAGTTCATAAGACTTGCACACACTAAGTCCCTGCCTGGTTGCAATAAGCAACAACTCCACTTTTTGTTGAGCCATTTAATAGAATGTATATGTTAAGGAATTGGATATGTCATACAGACAGTGATCATGATTAAACATTTACTATACATTAGAGCTTGAATTTAAGATTTTCTTCACAGATCATTTGAAAAAAATCGCCTGTTAGGAATCTTCTGAGCATTAAAGGTATTGCAGGGCAGTAAAGTCAAATCAGTACATTTTGGACAAGTTTACAAGTGTGTTTGAATTAAAGTTTGTTTGTCTTAAAGTTTATTTCCACTTTTGCAGACAGATTGGGATAACACCTATATATACCGTTTATTTTTTTTACATGTTCCCATTCATATAGCATAATTTAAACATATCTAAAAATTGTTTCTTACCATTTTACTTGCTATTTTCTCAAAACTCCAAAACTGAAGTTTTTCCAGGATCTGTAATTTCAAGCAGGGGGTTTGAGAAGGAGTTGTGTTTAACTTAATTAATCCTGTCTGTGCTGTGCTGGCAGATCTCATTGTAAGTTGTAAACTAAATTGGAACATTATCTGTCCTAACAAAGGGTTAAAGACTGGTGTTTGTGTTTAATGAGGGGAAACTCAGTCTGTCCCCATTTGTTAGGTTTAGTCACAAACTGTTCAAACTGTTCAGAATAGCTTGCAGTCTGGCCACAGGCTTCTTTTACAAAACAGCATCTAAAAGGTAAGACATACATTTTTAAAATTCAAATTTGACTGCAAAAGTGGAAATACACTAGTTAGTACTGTCTAAGCAGAACAAACTGAATGAGAGCTGCAGTTTTTTTCCTACCTGATGCTTTAAGCAACCTTTTCACCAATCTAAAATTTTAAATAAGTTGCTACCTGAAGAGAAGACTGTAAATACTTACTTATTCTGCTGTATATGCTGCTGAATGCTGTTCCATTGCTAAGGAATCATCACCCAAAGTCTACTCGAACAGAAACACTTCCAGAAGCATTGTTCTACTGTGTCCCCCAAAGCTCATTGATTCCGGTCACCATGTACCACATCGCTACACATGCATTTATCCATATAAGTGTCACTCTTGAGGGGTACACCCGTGCTTGACCATTTAGCTCAGCACAGTGTAAAGCATCTGCTTTGAAACATAGCTTAATAAAAGTAGCCAGTGCACCTAAATATTCCCCAAAGCTTTACTAACACACATGTAGGCATGTCAAGGGACACATAAAAAAGCCCATGCTGATGCCTTTTGGGTAATCACTAGGGATGCACCGATACTTGGTACAAGTACAGATACTTTTCGAGCTCCAAGACTAGACTAGAGAAAAATACAAAAGTTAGGAGGCAGCTGTCATTTGTAAGGAGCACACGGAGCTCCTGGGATTTGTACATCTCTGTTTTAATGTATGATTTTGTTTTTGAAAATATACTGATACTTGTCCAAGTACTCACAGATACAAGTACTGATACATGTTTGTTTATTGTCATGTGACAGTTTTTCCTAAAACAATACAGATTAAGGATTTCAGGACAGTGGTGGAGCGCCAGAGCTAGGTCCCAGCTAGAACTGCAACAACCCTGGTAGTTCTCATGAAAATGCCAAGTATCGGCACTGGTATCTGAAAAGTATTGGTGCATCCCTAGTAATCACACAAAACCCAAAGGCTTCATTCAATGCCTCTGTATCTGAATGGATTCTTTTCACTACACTTAGTAGTCTAATAATGCACAGGTGTATACCTTGAGAGTGCCACTTATAGATTTCAATGAATCTTAAAGTGTAAGTAAGTTTTAGATAGTCGGTTAAGGATTAGACAACTGTTTCTCCAGACACGTAAACCCTACGACAGCAAAAGAGACAGAGATAAAAAATTAATGTTTTACTAGAGTAGGAGATGGTTAGAAACCCAGTCAGCTTTTTATTGCCATCTGTGTCCTTGCTGCAGATATTTCCTCACTTCTTGTCTAGTAAAACCACTGTCAACCTGACAGTAAGCGAGGATATGTGAAATCTCTCAAGCTGAGCCCCAGGTAGCAATAAACACATGTCAGGGGTTCTAATCCTTCCCAAATAAAACTTACAATTTGGAAGCATTTGAATGGAGAACAACTGACTCACATTCGATCTGTGCTGAATGCAACCAAGCAAGTCTCAGGCAGTGCTTTTAAGTTCATG